GGGGGATGGGGACAACGCTGCCTCTGTCAGGGGAGGTTCAGGCTGGACGTTGGGAAGCCTTTCCTTACCGAGAGGGTGCTCAGACCCTGGAACAGGCTTCCCAGAGAGGGGGTTGATGCCCCAAGCCTGTCAGTGTTTAAGAGCCGTTCGGACACTGCCCTTAAGAACAAGCTTTCACTGTTGGTCAGCCCTGGAGGGGTCAGGCAGTTGGGCCAGGGGATCATTGTAGGTCTCTTCCAAATAGAATTATTCTATTCTATTTCAGTCTAAAACTGATCATGGCATAATAATACCAACTCTGGTTCAAGAAATCTTTGACTCAGGGATCATTAAAGGCCAGTCTATCAAAAGTATACATCCCAATAATGTTCTGGGCAACACAAATTTTTGGCCTGATCTAGAAGAGTCATCCCTTCTGTTCTTAGGTTGATTCTAAGCTTAGAGAGATTCTCTCTTCTTCCACAGATGCATTTACAGAACTGATAAGGTTAGCAAAACATTTGGGCCAGAGGAGTTCCTAGATAAGGCATCAGGGACCAGGCACATTCAAAGAGAGAGCAGCCTTGGAGTCTGAAATTTAATTTTCATTCAAGAGTAACAGATAGCTTTTACCATTACAACACAGTACAAGGTCCACCCTCTTTTACATGCATTCATGTTTACTTTTAGAGAAACTTTTACTACAAAATGACAGCTGTGTGTTTTGTGGCTAATGCCTATGAATAGCACCTTTTCAGAAGAAATCACAAGCCAAGAAACACAAACTTCATAGCTGTCGCAACCCAGTGCCACATTAGTATTTTTCTCTCCTTATCTAGAAGGAATTCACAATCATCTAAATAGGATTTTAAAAGTCTTAAAGACTCCCTTACATCAGTGGTTTTCTATCATCTTCAGTCTTCAAAGCCCTCCTATTTCTTGGAGGTGGGAAGCCTCAAGTAGCAAATTTAAATCTGCTATCAAATACAGTTTTTTAGTCACATTTCAAGAACCTCTTACAATCAGCTACAAAACCCTCTGCAGCATTCAGGTCAGCTTGAGAAATACCATTCAAGTTAAGCAACTGCTCAACCACTTGGAAGCTGAGGAAGAGATGCTGGCTTTGGGACACCTCTACAGGCAAGTCAACAGCAACAGAAAGGTCTGAGCACATATGAGTACATTCACACCACTGACTGCTAAGTAACATCAGAAAAAAATCAGCAGTACCTGCTGAGTCAGCTCAGGAAAGTACAGATGCACTAATACAGCTAAAAGAATGTGTCCAGCATTTGGACATACCACATCTCCTTCCAACTTCTGCTACCAAGCTCAACATTTTCAAGAATATTGGAATTAACATACGGGGTCTTTGTGTTTTCATATAGTTGCAACAATCTCACACTTAAAAACCTGAGAAATATGAATAATTATGCTATTTCAGAGTACTTACAGTCAATGATTTTTGGTAGTATGTTATCTTGACTCGAACAGGATAGGGTTTGTTACGAAAGTCCCTCTGACAGGATGCCAATGCTTGCGTGGAACCATCACTATGCAAGAAGACAACTTGCATAAAAATATATCTTATGATTTATCAGCTAAGACAAAAAAGCATCAATGTATCACTAAGCAACATCATGATAAGTTTTTCAATATGCAAGTTTTTCAAAAGCTGTCTCATAACTGCACTGAGCTTTCCTGAGGTTTGGGATCAACAGTACTAGATGCTTTACACAGGACACAATATAGACAGAATGTAGCACTGGGGAAGTCTGTGTGCCTCGAAGATATACTCCCGCACCTGTGAACTGAGATGGAAATAAGCTATAGTCTGGACTGCACCAACTAAGCTAGATACCTCTCTTCTCAGAGAATCCAAAAAGATGTCAATTATGCTGTTGACAACAAACAATCAGAAATCAAAATGAAACCGTTAATTTTAGTAACAGGCAATTAGCTTTCAGTTAGTCACTTTTGTCAGTTATTACCTGTGTGTGGAAGATACCCATAAGTAATGAAGAGGTAAAAAGGCCGTACCTCCATTTATCTGAGTTCACCCATCCTAAAGGACATATGGTATTTAAATATCCATCAGTTGCCAATTTCTGTGCTGCTACTGCCAAAAGTGTTTTAACAAACAGAAAAACTCAAATGTAAAGGAAACAACAAAGTTTCATAGGAAAGAAACCTTTATAATGTTCCTCAAAGAGTTCACACAAGACTTCATCATTTAAAAGCAAACATTCGTCGTTAACACTGAAAAAACAACTTACTTCTGATGGTCATACAGAAGTTTTCCATTGTTGCCTACAACAATCACTCCAGGATTGTTTTTCTAGAAAAAGAAATAGCAAAGAAATGTAACTGTCTAATTCAAAGTGAAACATAAGAAATATTACCGATAGCCTTTCTGCGATAAAGCACCTAAAGTCATTACACTACAGATACACCACAGATGGTTTTATTCTTTCTGTACTTCAGGATTACATAAGCAAAATGACTGAGTAGCACTGTGTCACGCTGCATGCTTTGCAAGAGACTGCTACATTCTTTGCATAGTTAGGGGTGAAAAAACCCACACAAATTAAGTTTCTGGATATACTACCAATTAGCATAATTTTACAAATACAGAAATGTAAAAGACACAGATAGGAGACATTCATATGTAGTGAAGATACAGATCTTGAAAGTAACAGATGACTTAATACATCCATCTTTGGCTACATAACACTGGGAAAGACAACCAAACAGACACTATGTTGACATCCTACTGACCTTATCACAGTCATTAGAAAAACCTCAGGAGCTAGTCTGAGTTTAGTCAGAGACTAAACAAAGTCTGTTGAACACATCCCCAGTTATTTAAATTGCTAGATGAGAACAAGTTAAAAAGATAATAGCAGAACAATTTACAGAGCTATTCCGGTTGCCTCCAGGAGTTCATGAAGTAAACTCCAGTTTTCACAAGAGCACAAGATTTCAGGGTTAATCTCCCTTCAACATTTCATCATCTCTTTAAGTGTACTGCTTTTGGCTGGGATAGAGTTAGATTTCTTCATAGTAGATTGTATGGAGCCATTTTGGATTTATGATGAAAACAGTGTTGATATCGCAGGGATGCTTTAGTTATTGCTTACACATAGTCAAGGCCTTCTCTGCTCCTCACCCTACCCCACCAGTGAGCAGGCTAGGGGGGCACAAAGGGTTGGGAGGGGACACAGCTGATCCCACCGACCAAGGGATATCCCAACCCATATGACATCATGCTCAGCAATAAAAGCTGGGGGAAGAAGGAGGAAGGGGGGGGACATTCCAAGTTATGGCATTTGTCTTCCCAAGTAACTGTTACACGTGATGGAGCGCTGCTCCCCTGGAGATGGCTCAACACGTGCCTGCCCACGAATTAAGTGAATTAAGTTTTGCTCTGCTTGAGCACGCAGCTTTTGATTTACCTATTAAACTGTGTTTATCTCAATCCAGAAGTTTTCTCACTTTTACCCTTTCAGTTTTCTCCCCTATCCCGTCAGGGGGAATAAGCAAGCAGCTGTGCGGTGCTTAGCTGCCTGCCAGGGTTAAACCACAACATAAAGCAATATACTGTCTCACTAGACAGATTGCCAGCTCTTCAGAAAAGAAAACAAGACTCAGACTTCAAGAATTCAAGAAATAACTTCCTTCTCAATTCACAGTGGTGGGGTAGTGTGGTCCTTTGTCTTAAAAAAAACCCTACAACCAAACTACCTGTTTCTTTTCCTTCATCACATAGATCGTGACAACAACAGAACAGTATATCGGTATACAGAAATACAACAGTGTTTCCACTTCTCAGCAATGGATTTTTGTTAGCGTAACTGCTAACTGCTAACATCAGTATCATCTGCGCAGTACCACTGTAGTACTTTGATGTCATCTTCTTTCTGTTTATTTCAGTTTAACAACAGTGATATTGAATTAGTTCAGAGCACACTTGCATATATTCTGCACCAAGCATGTACAAACAGTTCCATTCCAAAGCATTCATGAATGCAACCCAAGTCTAATCTACCTTAGAGCATAGTAGACAACTACTAACAAAAGTATTCAATGTTCATCGTTGATGGGCGGTCCAATTTCTGCTGGGGATCGTGTCTGGATGCAAGCAAATACAAGAACTTGAAAAACAGCAGAGAATCCAAAGTGGGGAATACCTTGTCTTTTTTTTTTTGCCTCCAAAAGTCACAAAAAAGATGTGCTGAAAACTCTTGTGACATTTAGTGTGGTTCTTACTATTCCAGGTGTTCAGAGCTATGAAACTGTATTTCTCTTTTTAAAAAGCTCTTGTCACTACTTTTACAGAGAAATAAAAATTAAACTCTAGTATAACCTACAGCCTTAGAAGGAGGAGAAAAAAGGCTTTGCAGTTTTTAAATCAGCATCATATGCAGGGTGCTTTGAGTTGGCAGTACTAGATGAAGTCTACTTCTAGATGCTAACATATTAGGCTGAGGACCAGTTACAGCACCAAACATCTTCCAGTGAACACACTGAAAAAGCAGTAAGATGATTTTCTCCATACTGGAACTGAAGAAAGTAATAGGTTTTCATTAAAAAAAAGTCTTACAAACTCCAGTGTTTAAGACACGTCAGACCAATACAGGCAGGACACAGACTTTTGTTTTGACTAGAAGTGACACATCATCACTTTCTAAAAAAGGGTTTCACACTACACTGACTAAACTTGTCACCATCAGAGTCCCAGTGCTACCAATGTTCTGACAAACAGTGCTGCCCACACGCAATTTTTGGTGGATGGCATCTTCAGTCAGCTAAACTACATCAGAGTCCATATTCATGCCAGAAGTCAGAAAAAAAAAGGAAAAAAAAAGAGGAAAAAAATTCTTCGTAAGTTGAACAATACGTCTTGTCTTTGAAGATCAGAAACATAAATGTCACCTTCAGTCTCTCAACTTTTATATATGATGAAGTTTGCTGTATATCAAAAGCCATTTGTAGGAAAAAAGCTTGTACACCTACAAAAATATATCTAAAACATCTAAAAGCAAGCCAAAGTGGTGCAGGAAAAGCAAAAAAAGCAAAGCAGACCTACCATGTATTGTTAAAGTTTCCCAGGATCTTTCTGAACTGGAAAACTGGAAATTCAAAACAGCAGCTGTCACCCCCATCTGCTACAGAATTTTTGCTGCCGAACTACTCAAGGCAGATTTCTCCCAAGAAAAAGAGCATCTCTGAAGACAGATGTAGAAATCTGTGCTTCCACAGTGTCATATTTTGGTACCATATGCCTCTTCCAAAGCACACATCTTCAGATATATCAACATTTCAAATTGTGCATGGACATTCCAAATTTCACCTTGTACACATGCACATTGTATTTTCCCTCCAAACCTAACCAATGGAGATTCATTATGTGTTACGCTTCAACTTCCAAAAAAAAAAAAAGTGTGAGAAAGTCTAGTAAAAATTCTATAAGGAAAACTTGACTATTTTAATTTATCCCTTCAAAGTGAAGGGGAGAGAGTAGTGAAATAACATCCTATTTATTTCCACAAAGTTGTATGTACAAAACAGGCAGAAAATTAATTTATAATCTTTGCTAGAAGAGTTTGCTTCTGACTAACCTTTCCATCATTGTCAAAGGAGTCAAAGAAAATTCCAACACCATTCCATTTATCAGCTGCCCCAAAAACAGGACCTTCCAAGCCTTGCTCTTCTGTAAACCAGATTGCCTATTACAGAAAGCAAGTAAGAGTCGTAAGTCAAGATTCACTTTTTAAAGGATGTCTGTTTTTTTCCAGTTAGATCAAATTCTTCATACCAATCCATCAGCTCCAATGCGGCCTCTTCCTGTAACTCGAAAGGTCACTTCGACTTCCCAATATTCAAATATTGACTTGTTTTTTGTCCACACTGACCCTCTTTGGCTTTTCAAAGACGTTGTTATACGAATCTGGTCTGCACTTGGTATGGCATCTAGAAAGGAAAGAAACCAATGCTGAACATATGCAGCAGAAGGTATTGCAAGTGCTTAACTGGCCAATCAACAAATCTTCCAAACTCACAAAATTTTCTGGTCTCCTCAACTAGAGAACAGTTTTCAAAATAACTTTTTAGTAGAGTACTCAAGCACTTCAGAGGGGAAAAAGAAACCCCAAACCCCCACATCTTTACTTTCAACAATTTGACTACCACTGCTTTACAGAAGACTTAATCACCTTCCATTTGGGACCGCAACATACAACTTAATTAAATTAATTTTTAAAAAACCCTACGTTTAGGTTTAGTTTTCTGCTGTATCCCACATGACTTTTCACAAATCACAGATTTTTGTTCTGCTTTTTAAAAACAGATGTTCTAATTTTCTGTTTTATAATTTAACAGGCATGCATTATGGGAGAGATTCATTCTCTTGTATTAAATAACATTTTTTTTTTGTGATTATCTGCTTAAAAAAAGCAGGGAAAAAGCTCATCTATAGACAGTTTCCTTCACGTCACTTGCAGCATACTGTCAAGTAAGAGTTAATAATTAACACTCATGATTTAACCAATATAAACAAAATTAAAGTCTGTCAAAAAATAAAACCACAGAAGTTACTGCAGAGAAACTATACTAAGGCAGAACCTCACGTACAGTAAATATCAATACATTTTACAAGGCCTGGGGGGCCTTAGGAAGACTAGATGCCTTTTTGAGTACAATCAAATCTTGAACCCAGGCTGCAGAGGATATGTAAACTGCATAAACTACGTTCGGTAAAGTCGTATTTGCCAAAGCACAATTTCCGCTTCAAGCTTTTAGATTACGAATTTCAACAGTACGTCCAGCCATACAGAACCACCGGCAGCTCGTCTCGGGCACGCCGCACCTTCATTCCGACCGCCAGTGACACATCATCACTTCACAAGGAGAGTTTCGTACCGGCTGGAGGCAGCTCCTCACAGCCACGCAGCTACCGCACCACAACAAAGGTCACAGGTAACTTCGAACCGCATGTCAAAGGAACCGGGGGAGGGTGCGCAGACGTTTTACCGCCACCCCAGCACCTCCTCCGTCCCTTAGGAACGGCGTGGAAACCCGCGGGAGAGGGCTCAGCGGGGGCACGGACGGCGCCCCAGCCTCACGGCGCGCTCG